TTGTATTAAAGCGGATTTGTCAGAAAATTCTCAACAAATTGGTTGAGAGAAGTTGTAAAATGTTGCATTATGATGATATCCACCAGAGTTAATAAATTAAATGCAGTGCTCCAGGAATGTGTAAATAAAATTATCGAATTCCAGCAGGGTATTTAACCTTATCATAAACTACGGGGGTTAGTTCAACAGTAAAATTCGGAGGTAAATAATACAGTTGCTGTATCACTATCGGCAGAAAAATGCACTATCAAAAGATAAGGTTAGCAGAAGCCTATAAGATACAGATGACGCCATCTATTGGTGTAAAATGACACAATTAACAGGCCAACGTCAAGAAGCGCATGCCACGCTTCCTGCCAGGCTGTCAAGTCTCCTGCCAGGTTGCCACGCCCCCTGCCAGACTGCCACGCTTCCTGCCAGGCTGTCAAGTCTCCTGCCAGGTTGCCACGCCCCCTGCCAGGTTGCCACGCCTCGTGCCAGGTTGCCACGCTTCCTGCCAGGCTGTCAAGTCTCCTGCCAGGTTGCCACGCCCCCTGCCAGGCTGCCACGCCTCGTGCCAGGTTGCCACGCCTCGTGCCAGGTTGCCACGCCTCGTGCCAGGTTGCCACGCCTCCTGCCAGGTTGCCACGTCTCCTGCCAGGCGTCTATCTCAATGTATTTCCACCGCAACTCGCTACCAGAATTGTTGTCATATAAACTTTCCCTGTAGGTGATGTATGCAGGGAGCTCAGATTATAGATAGATCTCAGCGCTTTAGGGATCACAAAATGTTTTCCTTCGCATTTCGACATTCGGTCCTTTCGCTTTACTTTAATATTTGCGTTTAATCCCTCGTTTGGTTTTTATTCCCTCATTTACTACTTTTGTTTTTTGTTTTTTTTTGCCCTTGAATGTCCTTGAATTTGCCCTTGATTTGATTTGTTTGTTCGTAGTTTCTTTTCTTCTGATTTGGTGAGTCTTTTGTTTTTTTCGTATTTTTATTCTCTCGCTCTTTTATCATTTTTCGTTTCTTCATCTATCATATATTTATTGGTATTTTCTTTTTGTTTTTCCTTTTCCTGTCTCTGTCTCGCTCTGTTTCGCTAATTTTTCTTCTGTTCCATCTTTTGTTATTTCAAACGGATGGATCGGGGTTTTTTATCGTTCAATACCTTCCTTTCTCTCTAATTCTCTCTCTCTCTCTCCCTCTCCTTCCATTCATGCCTTTATTTAGCCTAATTTCCTTCGCTTTTTGTTCCATCCACCTCACTGTCTCTCTCTCTCTCTCTCTCTCTCTCTCTCTCTCTCTCTCTCTCTCTCTCTCTCTCTCTCTCTCTCTCTCTCTCTCTCTCTCTCTCTCTCTCTCTCTCTCTCTCTCTCTCTCTCTCTCTCTCTCTCTCTCTCTCTCTCTCTCTCTCTCTCTCTCTCTCTCTCTCTCTCTCTCTCTCTCTCTCTCTCTCTCTCTCTCTCTCTTCTCTCTCTCTCTCTCTCTCTCTCTCTCTCTCTCTCTCTCTCTCTCTCTCTCTCTCTCTCTCTCTCTCTCTCTCTCTCTCTCTCTCTCTCTCTCTCTCTCTCTCTCTCTCTCTCTCTCTCTCTCTCTCTCTCTCTCTCTCTCTCTCTCTCAAAAAAACACACTAATATTGTCATGTGTAATCGTCCCAAGAATTGTATAAGCAAGTCCCTTCAGAATTTCCCGAGAAAGGAGAAAATGGAAAAGCATCATAGTTTTTTGTTTAGTTTAAATAATGTAGACAAGGAGTATTATATCGAGGAGAAAAATATCCTTCCCAATTAACGCCTCGGAAGTTTGACTCAAAATTTAATATGAAAACTTATTTTGTTAAATAGTTTCACTAATGAAGCTGGCTTACGACTTTGTTAAGTTCGGTAGTAATGAATTAAATGTTTCTTCCTTGCTTTTATATATATATATATATATATATATATATATATATATATATATATATATATATATATATATATATATATATATATATATATATATATATATATATATATATATATATATATATATATATATATATGCCTGTCTCGAGTCATAGCTTCGAACAGAATCGAATCACGTTGAAGAACTAAAAATAAAAAGCTTTATCTGTCACTAATATCTAAGTATTTAGCTTCTACGCAATAGCGTTGACTAGAATGACTGCTAATACACCTGGTTATGTATACTGAAGCATTCATTCTCCATCTGGTTCTGTATTACTGAAACATTCTTTATCTGGATGCATGTAGAATAAAAGCCAGACCATAATATCCGACTGCTGTAGTGCCATAATTCAACCAAATTCACGTGTATAGAAGAAAATGCATTACCCTATTTGGCTCTGGTATAGCAAAAGCAAATTGTATCCCACTGCCTGAAGGAAAGATATTGTACCTCTGAATACGTCCGGCGGAAAATTGCCGCACTTGACTCTCTAAGGCTGCACAAGGCTGCTGTTATCTGGCTCTTGGGTGGGTTTATTACATTCTTTAAACTCTTCTGGCTATCCCGGAGCGCCCAGATATATTGGGAGGACTGAATGGGACACACGAGGGAGCGTAGACGCCCAGCTGTGGTTGGCCGGGAAACTGACCGGATACTTTTAATGAGTTTTGGAACGATGATAAAAACGGGTTTAGACTCCTTGAAGTTTGGTATATTTCCGAGTCACTCAGTGACTGTCTACTTTGTTGAGATGAAGTTAAGAAGCTTTAGTAAACGAGCCAGCAAATATGAGAGTCTCAAATCCAATCAATGTTTCTTGATTAATTAGGTAAGTCAGCTCTTGAGAGTGATTTATGTTTCGAGGGAGAACCCGACCTCCCCCCCGCACTCAACCAACAAAGAGCTTTCTCTCACCCACCCCAAGCCAATACCCCTATATGCACTCCTACCATCCCTTCCAATCCCAGTTGACTCCTAAACCCATTATCCCACCCCAAAACTACTTAAAATCTCATTCTATTCCAAATCCCCACTGCATCTAATCCCCCTTCCCTAAACCTAGCCAAACCCCCCCCCCTCTTCCACCCCAGATAACCTTCCCACGACCTCTTCCTTCACCAGCAACCTCCTCTCCCTCACCTGCGCCTTCAGGATATCCAGCAGAGGCAGGGACACCATCTTCACCTGTGTTCTCTGAGGCAGAAAGGTGGAGAGGCCAGACTCCCACGCCACCTCGCGCGCCTCGGGTGGCTCACCTCTTCATTTTAGCCACAAACTTCGACTAATTAAACTCCGGGCACAGAAGGGCCACACAAAATGCCTCGCGCGATGGATATAAACCATATTTGATGAATCTTCGTTGTTTGATGAATTGATGCATCAGTACGAAATGAAGTCCATTACGGCATCGCAAATGAACAAAAGTAAATTGGGTTTAGTTATTGAAATTGAGTTTCACAGCGATAAGCAGCTGTCAGTCAAATAGATTACAATAAAAACTCCTCAGAACAAAATGTTTATATATATATATATATATATATATATATATATATATATATATATATATATATATATATATACACACAGAGGGGAAATGCGCACTGCATCCAGGGTTCCTGCCCGCCATCTGAGGAGCTGGAGGAACTCGACAACCTATGATAACCATCTTTGTAACCCATATGTAACTCCTGTTTTGTAACAAAGTTCAAATAAAGTAAATATATATGTGTACATACAAAAGAATGGGGGTGGTAGGAGAAGATAATATTAGTGTTCAGTGAGAAACCACAAGGTCTCCTCTGAATACTTTTTTTTTCTTCTCCGAGGCTATGGGTCCCCACATTGGCACCAGAGGTGGTACTCTCACAAACTTTTATATATATATATATATATATATATATATATATATATATATATATATATATATATATATATATATATATATATATATATATATATATATATATATATATATATATATATATATATATATATATATATATATATATATATGTATATATTCACTAAAAAAAACACATACGCATAAAGTTGGCGTTTTCTTTCTCTTGTTGGATTTTCCTATTGTTCTTCTCTTGTTGAATTTCTCTCTTGTCGGGCTTTCTACCTATTATTCTGTTTTTGATCAATTTTCTGTCTGTCTGAGCTCTTACTGAACTTCGCTGCTCTCCATCTCCATCTTATTTGAACTCAAGATTCTATATTATTCTCCTTTTCTACGACTCCTTGAGACTCTTGCATCCTTTCATGATCGCATCCTCCTCAAGTGTTTTTGTGCTCGTTTCTTTCGTAACTCGTATTTTTGTCCCTTTTCGCTCGATATTTTCGCTTTGCTTTGTTTAACTCACGTTATTACCGCGAATATTTTTTCCGTGGTCGTCGTTTTTTGGTTGGTATCACTCAGTATTTTCCTGAGCTTAGAGAGGCACGCGGACTCCTCCCACCTCTGACAATGGTTCAGTGTCACTCATTCTGAGAGCGAAAGGCTTTGAGGTGGTCGCTTTTTGTCTGACGATTCCTCCGGTTTTCTCCTCGGTTTTGGTGTTTCCGGCTGCCTTTGTTTCCAGTGTTGCGCTAGAGGTGAAGCCGAGTGTTGCGGCAGAGATGAAGACGAGTGTTGCGGCAGAGATGAAGCCGAGTGTTGCGGCAGAGATGAAGACGAGTGTTGCGCTAGAGGTGAAGCCGAGTGTTGCGGCAGAGATGAAGCCGAGTGTTGCGGCAGAGATGAAGCCGAGTGTTGCGCTAGAGATGAAGCAGTATTGTAGCTGAGATGAAGCAGACTGTTGCCGTAGGATTAAACTTGAAAGGGGGTCACTATAAAACAGTATTACTTTGACCAAGAGACGTGTTGACAAGAGAAACAATCATACCATTGTTTGCATTGAATTTTTTTCCTTTTCAGGAAGTTTGTGAACAATTAAAAGGTCAATTCCGTAGCAAATATTGATTGTATGATGTCCATTGCAGAATGCCTGTTGTAGGATATCTCTTGATTGGCAATATCATCACTTTGAAGGTATTAATATACTTTTTTTTTGGTTTTGTGTTGCAGGAGTACACCCAACACCCACCTGGTGTCACTGGCGGCGGGAGACCTACTGATGGTGTTGCTGACCGTGCCCTTCACGTCCCTCGTCTACACCCTCGAATCTTACCCGTTCGGGGAGGCAGTGTGTCGCGCCTCCGAGTTTGCCAAGGACCTTAGCCTCGGCATCACCGTCTTCACCCTCACGGCTCTCAGCGCCGACCGATACATGGCCATCGTCCGCCCCGTGTCGCACCATGTGTCCGACTCCGCCGGACGCCTCACCATCACCGTGGCCGTCGGGATCTGGATAATATCGGCTCTCTTGGCGATACCCGCAGCCGTCTTCTCCAGTACCCCGATGTTATCCACACCTACAGGCAAAAAGTACTACATCTGTACACCATTTCCGAACTACTTGGGGACTCTTTACCCAAGAATCCACGCCTTGGTGAAGGTGATTGTGTACTACGTCTTCCCTCTGGTTCTCATCGCCTCGTTCTATGTGTTGATGGCACGGCATCTCTTCATCTCAGCTCAACACCTGCCCGGGGAAGCGGCGGGGCAGCAGAGACAGGCTCAGGCACGCCGGAAAGTGGCCAAAATGGTGCTGGCTTTTGTCATCATCTTCGCTATCTGCTTCCTGCCTCTCAATGTGTTTACTCTTTGGTGGCATTTTGCCCCGAACTCCGAAGAGAGTTACGATATTCACTGGCACACGCTGCGAATAGTTGGGTTTTGCCTGTCGTTCATTAATTCGTGTATCAACCCTATTGCTCTTTACTGCGTTAGCGGAACCTTCAGAAAATACTTCAACAAACATGTATTCTGCTGGTGCCAGCGGCGAGGCGCCAGGGGCGACTGGGATGGCGCTGACTCCTCTGGCACACGCATGACCACGGCTATCAGGACGGAGCAAGTCCCTCTCAAGACGGTGGGCACTGACAACGGGAGTCAGGCTCCTCACCACCGCCTCACACTCTCTAACACAACCGTCCTTACCAACCGGCAGCACCACAACCCGGCCTCCGTGGTGTGACGCTCCGACACCCGCCTGGCCTCTGGGGTCTGATGCTCTGACGTACGTCTGAACTCTTGTGGTGTGACGCTGCGACATCCGCCTGGCCTCTGGTGTGACGCTGCGACATCCGCCTGGCCTCTGGTGTGACGCTGCGACATCCGCCTGGCCTCTGGTGTGACGCTGCGACATCCGCCTGGCCTCTGGTGTGACGTTGTGACGTACATCTGGCCTCAGTGGGGTGAGGCTCTGACGTACGTCTGACCTCTGTGGTGTGACGTTGCGACATCCGCCTGGCCTCTGGTGTGACGCTCTGACGTACGTCTGATCTCCATAGTGTGACGCTCTGTCACCAAACTGGCCTCCCTCTGAGGCTCTGGCTGAAGCGTCGAGTCGTCTCTTTACAGCAACAAACATAAAACAAAAAACTCCTTTCCAGAACACAGTTACTCAGCTCGGAGTGATTTTTCCTCTCGTCTTCAGTGTGTATCTCAACGCTGTCCCTCTCATCTGGGCTGAGTAACAGTCTTAAGGGTTTAGGAGCTCCTGTACTCATGTAGCTGTGGGTAGAAAGGTGGCAAAGTGATGTTTATGTCTGCTATAAAGCTTGTTCCTTGAACCCATGGAACATACGCAGTGGCATTACAATCTTTCCTCTCTGAATGCGCTCTCCAGTCAGACTGGTGATATATTCCTCGTTGTTCTTGTGACTTCAATTCCATGAGCACCCTGCACGGTCTGTTCTACTCACGGTCGCTCTCGCACGCAGTACTGGCGTCAGGAACTTGCGAGCAAGTCCAACACTGTCCTCAAAACAGCCATCGTACGGGAAAGTCATTATTGTCGTACGGCTTCACCTTGCGCACACACACTCTCTTAGTCTATAAACTCTGTTGACTGAATGAGTAATTAGAACAGATCTTTTCCAATGCGTAAGATAGGAAGTGTCTATGTGCTTTTGTGTGCAACTGTGCTAGTATATATTAATGTAAATCACTGTTGATTCACAAGTACATTACATTGTTTCCCACTGTTTGTAAAAATAAATGAAATCAGAAGACAACATGATGCAACTTTGCGTTAAATGAAAACACGTTATTTGATCTTCCATCAGATTTCTACAACTCTTGGCAGCGCCTAAAACAGACAGAGAGACAGACAGACAGTCGGGGAGCATTGTGCCAGCTGTGAGCGAGGACAGGGGACCCGCTGAAGCCCTTGGCTCCGCCCACATACACGCTCCAGGATCTAATCATTCTGCTGAATAGCTATCAAAGCGGCATTTGATTTGCTGGTGGTGGATGCCAGCAGTGTGGAATACTGATGGTCGATGGGACCACACACATACGTCATTCATCAACGCCAAAACCCGATCTGTCGCTTTTAAAAACCTATTGTAATGCAGCCTAATATAATAATATATAGAGTATTAATGTGTAAATAAAAAAAATAACCCTTTATGAGAACATTTATGATACATCTGTATTATGTATAAAGCTTATGTCTTTGTCCGTACATGAGGGGAATACTATAGACGTGATTACAGTATATTAAGATATCTGCCTGTAACTGTATAATATATTTTGTACTGCTGCTTGTTCTGTAAAACAGTAGGTGTGTTAAAGATAATTTAACGTATGTTTGAGGCTCCTGTTGGCATCTTTATATACTTTAAGATAATTCATTAACAATGACATGTTTCGAATTTTTCTAATTAATTTTGTGTATTTATAAACGTCGTGTCTATCAGGCAGAACCGCACTGCTAGGCCTGGTAAACAAGGCCCTAACAGGCAGCGCGATTCTGCATATTTTAATATATTTCTTCCCATATTAGTTCACCAATAGCAATATTAATATACTGAGAACATGCATTATACTTAGGTTAGGTTAGGCTAGGTTAGGTTAGGCTAGGTTAGGCTAGGTTAGGTTAGGTTAGGTTAGGTTAGGTTAGGTTAGGTTAGGTTAGGTTAGGTTAGGTTAGGTTAGGTTAGATTAGGTTAGGTTGGGTTAGGCTAGGCTAAGTTAGGTTACGTGTAGATTCTAAGAGAGTTTTGACTCATTAAAAAAAATTCTCGATGGTGCATATCATAAAGAAAACTTTATAATTATCATTCTATATAATTATCCATTATATAGAAAATGTCGAAAATGTTTGAAAAATGATTTAATAAACAATTCTAGCTAATAGGAACAAATATATATATATTATATATATATATATATATATATATATATATATATATATATATTATATATATATATATATATATATATATATATATATATATATATGTCGTACCTAGTAGCCAGAACGCACTTCTATGCCTACTATTCAAGGCCCGATTTGCCTAATAAGCCAAGTTTTCATGAATTAATTGTTTTTCGACTACCTAACCTACCTAACCTAACCTAACCTAACGTTTTCGGCTACCTAACCTAACCTAACCGATAAAGATAGGTTAGGTTAGGTTAGGTAGGGTTGGTTAGGTTTGGTCATATATCTACATTAATTTTAACTCCAATAAAAAAAAATTGACGTCATACGTAATGAAATGGGTAGCTTTATAATTTCATAAGAAAAAAATTAGAGAAAATATACTAATTCATGAAAACTTGGCTTATTAGGCAAATCGGGCCTTGAATAGTAGGCATAGAAGTGCGTTCTGGCTATTAGGTACGACATATATATATATATATATATATATATATATATATATATATATATATATATATATATATATATATATATATAAAAGTTTCAGTGGTTCCCAAACCAATAAATCACAAGAACTCCATGACGTGGCCAGGATTCGAACCTGCGATACCAGGGCTGACCCCACTGGCGAACACAGTACCAATACCACTCCGCCAGCGATGTGTTTAATCCCATAGAAAGTTATTATAAACTTTAGTCATATTAAAACTATCAGGTGATTTTTAACACATTTTTTATGATATAAAAATTCCTAGCTGCCACATTTATATTAAAAATATTAAGATGTTTAGGAATTTCAGTTTTTTTTTTTTTTATGAAATTTTTAGGATTTCTTGAAACTTTTTTTGAAGTTTCTAGACCCCTAATTTTTTTTTTAAATAATATTGTAATATTTAACCTGCATATCATAACTAACTAATTATTTAGTTAGTAACTAACTAGTAAACATCTCGACCAAATAATATAAGGATATAAATATAGCATCAGCCCAGTGGACCCAATATCCAAGAGTGTCGTTGGTTAGACGTTGGTTCGACGTTCCGTCAACGTTAACAACCTTAATACAACGTTGAAACAGCGTTGATGACAATGATTCGGCGTTGAAATAGTGTTGCTCTTGGATATTGTGGCTACTGAGAGCACGTCAGGAATATAATAATATAATTATTCCTGTAAGAGAATTTATCCTTCCAATCGACTGAATTCATTCACCACCAAAAAAAAAAAAGGAATACAAATTGATGATTATAAATAAATATAATTGAGTTTAATTTATATTAGGAGTAGTGAACAATGCAATTTAAATATTTTCCAAGAAGTATATAAATCAGAAATTTTTATTAATGATAGAATAATTGAAAAAAAAAATTGTTATAATCCCGTAGCAGATCACCAAGCTGTGGTAGTTAACCTGCCCCAAACACGCGACGAAACGACGACGTTGCTACAACGAATGAACAAGTTTTAACACCTAACATGATGTAACAACCAATATAGCAGGTTGTGACAACGTTCTAATACGTCATAAAAACGTTCAAAATAATTCATAAAAACTTCTAATACGCCATAAAATCGTTCTAATACGTCATAAAAACGTTCTAATACGTCATAAAAACGTTCTAATACGTCATAAAAACGTTCTAATACGTCATAAAAAGTTATAATACGTCATAAAAACGTTCTAATACGTCATAAAATCGTTCTAATACGTCATAAAATCGTTCTAATACGTCAAAAAACGTTTTAATACGTCTTCAAAAGTTCCAAAAATTCATAAAAAGTTCTAATACGCCATAAAATGTTCAAATACGTCATAAAAACATTCTAATACGTCATAAAAACGTTCTAATACGTCATAAAATTTTCTAATACGCCATAAAATGTTCTAAATAAGTCATAAAAACGATATACCAAGATGTAACAACTTTATTACAATTTGTAACAAGCGGAAACTATATAGAGAGTTACGTTTTGTGTTTGTAGGAAACTCATTTCATGAGGATGGTCCAAACCTGTCTTTATGTTGCAGGCGATGAGTCACAATAACGTGGCTAAAGTATGTTGACCAGACCACACACTAGAAGGTGAAGGGACGACGACGTTTCGGTCCGTCCTGGACCATTCTCAAGTCGATTGAGAATGGTCCAGGACGGACCGAAACGTCGTCGTCCCTTCACCTTCTAGTGTGTGGTCTGGTCAACCTGTCTTTATGTTATTTTAGCTGGTCAAGGCCTCTTTTGTTTTTTTTCCTACACAGGTAGTTACAGAGGCTCTGTTTAATATAAATTGTCATCCACACTTCTGTGGAAATAAAGATTCCATTGATCTGGGTTCTAAGAGACTCGAACCTTGGACCCCCCCCACGTGTGTGAGGCCGAAGTTCTATCCACTGAGCTATTGAGTAAGACTGCTCAATAGCTCGGTCGATAGAGCTTCGGTTTGTTTTATATATTTCTTTTATTTTCATCACTTTTATTCATAATCATACTGTATTCTTTGAAGATGTGTTAAATACAAATAAATGCACAGAATTGTGTTGTTTGTTCCTTTGATTATCCCCGCTAAACTGAATCACATTTTGAACAAATCCACAAGGGCCGTAATGACGGTTCGAACTTACGTCCAAGAGAATCCCAGACGCGCCGTAATCGACTGTGCTATGACATGGCTAAAAGAATTGCAACCGGGAGTTCAACCGGGAGTTCTCGGACGTAGGTTCGAACCCTGATCACGGCCCTTGTGGATTTGTTCCTTTGATGCATCACCCTATTGTGATTTTTGTGTGTAATGAATCACAAGTTGTTGTGATTGTGTGAAGAATGTACCCTAGTGTAAGGTGGCCGTTGATAGATGAACTAAACTTATCAACAGCCACAGCTTATACTTTGATACTTCCTGAGTCTGAGGACCAACTTCCCGACCCACCACACAACTTTCCCCCTAACAGATCAAAGCTATGCAGACGGCTGTAGTGTTGTTGTTTCCTGTGGTCCAGAGAAACAGAAACACAGACCACCACCAGACCAACTCCAGTTCAGGCCGGCTCTGTAAAACACGGTGGCGAGGTCTGGAAGACATTTTCTCGGCCAAAAGAGCATTGACGTTTCCAATGACACGCGGATTCATCACAGTATTGTGATTTCATTGCCATCTGAGTGGGACGTAAAAGTGTGGACGCCATTATCGTAGGCCCGAGTGTGGTCGTGTCGACTAAAATCCTAATTGGGCTCCGGTTTGAGGCCCTCCAAAACCTCCCAGTGAATTCAGTAGAGTACCGGGTTGGTCGACTTTCGTACCATCACGACCAAATCGGTTAAAGCATATAACCTTTAAGTTATATACATATAAAACACGTGAAAATATATAACATATAAAATAAAGACCTTACTAATATATAACTCAACAAATTCCTGAAAGCTGCAAAAAACAACTTTATTGTGATTTTCGTGAACAGGATTACAACAATCTCTTTTTCCTCGCGAGAGATCTGTCCCACAGCTCATCTTCAGAGAAACACAAAAAATGAAAGATCCCACCATTACCGAATTGAAAGGTGGGGGTGAGATGGACGTAGGGGGGGGGGGGGGGGGGGGCGGGAGGGTGAAGGAGAAGTGGTAGAAGAGAGTGACTGGGAAGAGGGGAAGTGAGGGGGAGAGGGGACGTACAGGGGTAGTGGGAGAGGGGGAGAGGGGACGTACAGGGGTAGTGGGAGAGGGGGAGAGGGGACGTACAGGGGTAGTGGGAGAGGGGGAAGTTATGAATGGGCAGGTGGTGCCATATCTGGAGCAGGCAAGATACGTCAAGAGTCTTATCATCTCTCGCAGGACCGTCATTGTGGCTCTTAACTGGCCGTCCTCCATATGACGGTTCAATGGGGAGCGGCGGTTGCCTCCTGAAGGGAATACAGCCCCCCCCCCTCCCCCACCCAAAAAAAAGGTTATTCTAAGGGCGTATTCAACACAAAAATAAAACAAAAATGTCTTGAGGCCATCAGACCAATAGACCACAGATGAAATAAGATGCCCCGAGGCGGACTTTACCTTTAGAAGAATTCTTCTTTGTGAACACTTCTTCCCTCCTTCCCTCCCTCCTTCCTTCTCTTCATTTGTTTTTTTTTATTTACAAAGGCAGTTGCAGGAGTAAGATGTCTTTTGACTCCTGTTATCATTTTCCCCGAATGCCTGAATATACTCCAGAAATAAAGCAAACTCTGTCTATGAATACTGAGAAGTGAGACTCTCAATATACATCGCCATCGTCATACATAGTTTACACACGTGTTCAAAGTTTTCTTAGATATTTATTAATTTGCTCAGCATCTAATTAGCCGCAAGAAATTTGTAAATCAAAATAAAATAATTTTGTAGTAACAGAAACAGCTGTCATCTATGCGGTCGGAAAATATGGATATATATATATATATATATATATATATATATATAATATATATATATATATATATATATATATATATATAGTTACTGTAACGAAGAGTAATGCAAATGCGAGGTGTGAATTCAATTTCTTGGAAAAGATGTTTTAAATGATACTTTTTTTATATATGGTGACCGCGCTGCTTGATTCAGCCGTCAATTGTAAACACTGCCCAATAAATCTGATTAAAAGTAAGCTTAAAATTTCAACACCTTAACATTTTCGATTTGTTAAAGGCTATTTTCTGGTTAATACTATTGTGGTGCTGTAACCACAAGATATTCTTGACCACAAA